CGTCTGCTCCTGTGTTACAGTTGCTGTTGTTTGTTCTTGTGTTGTGCCTGCCTCGGGTGTAGTTGTTTGCCCCTGTGTTACAGTTGCCACAGCTGTTGTGCTTTGATCTTGTGTTTGGCCTGCCTCGGGTGTTGTAGACTGAAGTGTGTTTTGTGGCGCCTGTGTAATCGTTGCCTCTTGTGACGTTTGTTCAGGTATTGTAGTTTTTTCTTGAGTATTTTGTGACTCTGATGTTGTGGATTCAAAAGTAGTTCTTGCTTGTGTTTGTCCAGGCGTCGTTGTAGTTTCCTGAGTGGCTTTTTCTAGGAAGCGGAGATTGAAAAATGTGAACTAAATGTTACAATTTGAACTCCTTTGCTTTTTAAAAAGCGTCTTCTTAAGATTTGTTTTCCCTCAAAATGCCTGAACGAGGCATCATTTGATAATATCAGTTTCCCTGGTATTGAAATACGTACAGGTCCGAAATAATGAAACTAATTGCAATAAGGTTGCGACAAAGATGAGTACAGTGGGAAAAAAATAATCCAGTAAAGCGTCAGAACTGTTGATATTAATATAATGAATGTGGTGTCGAATTAATGGGAAATCCTATTTCAGTGGTGTGCCCCTGTTAAAGGATGTAATGTCATTAAGTGTCAGTATGTTTTAGGTGCCCGGTGCCCAAGTGTATTTACTGAGTGTGAGTACTTTAAGGGATTGTGTATGACATTATAAGCGTATTTGGATTGGACTCGAACCCACAGCATCTTGCCTGCTGCTCACTTGTGCGGACGTCTTACCACTCGACCAACAAGCTGGCTGGTTCGAGTCACGTGAGCAGCAGGTACCGCGCCAAACGTTTTAAAAGGAATTTGTCAAGTACGTTTGGGACAACAGTATTGATATTTTGGTATTTCATGTTGGTAATAATGGCAGCTTGTATCAAAATTCTGAAGGTGAAGGTTCATGTTCAATGTTGGTTTCTGCACGTTTGTGTGTGTGTCCTGTTTTATTGATAATTGTTGACATCATATTACAATATATATAGTTACACATTATTGTAGCTTTTCTGTCGTGTATTATGCACGGACATAATATTAAGCGAGTTACCGTGAAGCGAGTTACCACATTTATATAAACAAAAATTTCATAGGCCCTTATTTCGTAATAATGATAATTGTAGATTGTGACCTACACCCTAATGTCAGAAGAACTTTGCAACATTTTCCTGCCATGGGATTAATTTCCATTTCGACTTTGAAAGGTGAGATACTGGTAGTAAACATTTGCTCAACAACATCAGAGTTACTTTGTTGACTGTTTGTGATACTGTGTTTCCTCAGATACCTTCTAAAGGCAATCTACCATAAAATCAGTGAAGAAATCAACAAAGATGCTCAAACTGTAGTCAGACAACAGTTAATATTTAAGGCGAGTTATTCGGAAATTGCCCCCCACAATACTGCATTGCATATACTACACTGTGTGCGATTGTAATTTATCCCCTATTTTCGTCACAGCAATAGCGTGTGGATATTTCTCTTATTTTTAGATGTCACAGCTGCACGGTTTTCTACTGTAATTCAACAAAATGTTGACATTTTGTCACTCTTTAAATAAACAAGGAAAGCAGACCTTAATTGCCGTTTCGTTACTTCATACGAAAATTGAAGGCTCGCAAGAGAAATCGGAAGCTGTGTAACCTGCGGAAATGTGGAGGAATAACTAGAGTATTTGCTTTGCTAGCCGAATTGTATTTAAACTTTGGTGGATTAAGGCTAAATGATTCGTACTGTTACTTTAAATGTCACGCACTGAGGAGAAAGTAATCAGAATATATTGTTTTAATTAATTGCATAAAATGTGAAACATTTTTATTGTGAATTCTTTTTGAAGCTTCAAATCTAGTCAGAGGGTATGTACCGGAACTTGATTGAGGTCAGAAACTTAATTAATAATAAATGGATTGTTTCATTGATTTGACACAGTCTAAACAGAATCATTCAGCTTTCACCCAGCATTTAAGTGATCCGCTTAAATGAAATAGGAAAAGTTCAAAATTATTTCGGACGCCTTTAAGCCTGAAAAAAATACCATAGAATCTCTGTTTTTTCGAGTCCGGCCTCGGACTGAAGTCCACGCTTGGACGGACTGGAACCGTGGCTCGTTTTTGTGTTTCATGGTTTTTTTTTTAAATAAACCTGGGCTTATTGACTTGGGAACTCGTCCAGGGGTGACCACCACAGAGATAAGTGTGCCTTACACCCTTTCGATGCAAAATAATCAATTAAACGCAAAAGCCTAATACCTTGGTATCGTTTCCAACCTGTAAGAAATCCTTTAAATAAAACATTCTTAATATTTTGTACTTGAGAAATGCTCTAATTCAAATATTTAAACACATACCTTATCAGTTTCAGTGGTGTAATGATTTCAACTGTCCTTTGGTAATTGCCACGACAAATATAAAAACTACACGCGAATGTTTGTTGCAAATAATTTTAAACAAAAGATGTTGAGTTTTGGAAAGCATGGATCCAACTGCTTTTAAGGCTGCAACAATACGCCGCACACATGCCATGCGGCAGTGCCCAGACTGTGCAGGAGTAAAGTTCTTGTGCAACGTCAATATGTATCGTTTGCACTGGTTCCATCAAGGTGAAATCATGAAGGTCAAGATCAAAATCCCCGAGGCCTTTATGACAGGTCAGCAGTAATACATAAAAGAGTTACATTACAGTTCCTGTAGTCCAACCTTCCGAATAAAGGATGCAGTCCATGAAGTTAATTAAGCTAAATCATCCCGAATCTCTCAGGTTTAGCAAGGTACAAGGTAATTGCGCGTTTAACAGTTATGCATCCACCCTTTGGATCAGCTTTCTGGTTCTGTTTGATAAATATGAATGAACTGGTAATTTAGAAAAATACATTAAAAAAGTCTTTAAACAGTCATTTTTCAAATGTATTTACCAGTATACTTGATAACTTTTTTTGTAGTTTTGATGCCTTGAAGAAACATTTGGTTTTTTGTAAAGCATTAAAGCTAATTACTCAGGCTACCAAAGACACACTGAAAGGTCATTTTTTGTTCATATTTGTAATGACAGATCATAAATGGGACTCATTTTCTGCACTTTGAGTACGCATTGCTTGTAGAGCTCCGAATGTCGGAGCACATTATAGAACTCAGACTTTTAGACTCAGATTCAGATTTTCAGAGCTAGACTTGGACTTGAGCTAGTAGAGTTTGTACTCGGAAACGGTGCACTTCGTAATATCACTGCCACTAAGAAACTAGCTTAGGTTTAAATAGGTAGAAGAAATTAGGTTGTTTGATTGATCTCTGGAATCTAAATGAGTTTTAAATACGACATTAGCCCTCAGACTTTCTGGACAATAATGTCAGATGTGACCAGTACTCCTGGCTGGTTTTCTCAGTTTACCCGACTCCATTGAAGAATTGAGATGGCAAGTGTTGATTTCTTGAATGTTGGTGAAAGAATCTATAAAGTGATGGAAACTTGGCGGCAATTTTGCATAATTTACCTGTCTTCCCATTTCCACCAACAATAGTGTTACTGTTTGAAATGTTTGTTGTGACTTAGTTAGTTCACTTTAATACCAAAGGGGGCTGAGACGAATGCCTTGATTTATATAAAACAAGGTAGTGTTATGTTGTAGTAGTAGTATTACAATGTACTTGTTTTGGATATATATAACCTTAAAAATTATCCCTTTCCCTAAAATTTAAGTGTCTTTTCTAAGGAGTTTAATTACTGCACGCTTTGAAATTTGATGCAGGTGTGCCTTCTGTCAATATTCATTATACACTTTTCATGGAAAATCGTGCTAATAAAGCTACGGCATGGTTACAAAACTTTGTGATTCTGATATGAAAAGTCAGCAATGACTTTTGGAAATCTTAAAAAATGAAAAATGATCAAAACAAATTTCAATAACTTTAACTGATCGACTACATACGTCTTTTACAAATAACTGTAAAATTCGTATTTCAGGTATTAAAAAAATGAGTGTTTTAATTTCATCACTCCTATCAGATGAATGTTTTACATTGCCGTCTGGTACGAAATTATATCACTGTAAGAACGGACTTTCAAGTGCATAGCCACAAACAAGATTTGGAATTTCACATTACTAACGATTCTACTTCACCGAAGAAATCAATGTCCTTTTTGACATTCCCGTTACAATGAACGCGCACTGGTTTCGACGTGAACATTAATTACTTATGACCCTTTGCTAACTATCCTTGCGAAGTAAACAGAAACATAAATAAAAAAGAACAAACTTAAAAGGAATATTTGCAGTCAGACTAAAACTTACCAAGTGCTGTTGTATGTTCAAACGGCGTTGTTGCTTCTTGTGTTGTCGACTCTGGAGTGATCGTGGGCTCGGACGTGGTCCTTGGGTCAGCTGTCGTCGGCTCAGGTGCGGTTGTCGGTTCGGATGTACTAATAAATGCTGGTGTAGTTGCTGGTTCAATTGTGGTTGAATGTTGCTGTGTCGTCGTTGTTTCTAGCGTGGTTGTTTGTAGAGTTGTCAGTGGTTCTTTGGTGGTTGTTGGTCCAGGCGTTGTTGTTGGTTGCTGTGTGCTTGTCAGTTCAGATGTTGTTGGTTCCCGTGTGCTTTGTAGTTCAGATGTTGTTGTTGGGATCGGTGTGGTTGTTAGATCGGATATAGTTGTTTGCTCTACAGTGGATGTTAGCTGTTGTGTAATAGTTTGCTCTTGTGTGGATATTTGTTGAGTTGTTGTTGGTTCTTGTGTAGTTGTTGGTTCAGGCGTTGTTGTTAATTCCGCAGTAGTTGGTTGTTCCAGCGTTGTTGTCAATTCTGGAGTAGTAGTTGGCTCAGACGATGTTGTTGGTTCGTGTGTACTTGTCAGTTCAGGTGTTGTTGTTTGTTCCTGTGTGCTTGTTAGATG